CTCATGCAGGGTGATCGAGGCGTCACTTCTTGTAACATCTCCTGACCACACTGCATGGTCTTTAAAACGTCCACTCTGAGGAGGGTACGGGACCTCCTGGTAGTAGAACACCTGACGGACATGCACAAATCAATGTGTTGAAGAAAAAGAAGTACATATGTACACGCGCGCGCACACACACAAACATTTCAGATGCATTGTATAGGACCTCCTGGTAGTAGAACACCTGACGGACATGCACAAATCAATGTGTTGAAGAAAAAGAAGTACAGTACATATGTACACGCGCACGCACACACAAAAATTTCAGATGCATTGTATAATACAGTATTTAGTAAACAATATATTTGTCATTTGTCTCCAAGATGACACACCATTTCCCTGCATTTTTTTTGGTGGGGGGGGGCATCCAGTCAGTGCTTTAAAACTACAGTATTTGGGATGTACTTACCTCAGTGGGCATTTACTGTTTTCTTCAACTGGGCTGAGGCTTTGCATTTGTCTCCAAGATGACACACCATTTCCCTGCATGTTTTTTGTTTGTTTGTTTTTTGAGAAAGCATCCAGTCAGTGTTTTAAAACTATTGGGGATATACTTACCTCAGTGGGCATGTACTGTTTTCTTCAACTGGGCTGAGGCTTTCTGTTAGGTTTCGCCTTATGCAAGATGAAAGTGTCAACTGCCTACAGTCACTGCCTTGTAATTGTTCAATGAAAAGCGGGCCGATTAAATGATTTGGCATGTTTTGGCTTGTTATAGACCGCACAAAGTAACCATACTCCTCGTCTTTAACGGGATCCGGTTTGTACCTACCGACTCTTCTCTTTTAGAATTCAGGGGACGGAAGTTCCAGGACACGATAACAGACTGAGTCGAAACAGGGTGACTGGAGCGGAAGGTGCACTTGAGTTTAACCGTGGTCCCGTTCACCGCCTCCACCTCAGATGGTGCATAGATTTCAATTCCTGAAACGTGCGCCACTCCTAAATAGAGAGGGCAAAAAGTACAGAGTCGGGCTCATTCCTAAAGTGTTAATGATTGCTGAACAGTCTGAAGGTCACACGTAGGCTAGCTGATGATAGACGACAAATATTCCTTCTTCTAAGGCAAAGAAGACTACCTACCATTTGGAACAGTGTTGTTGATTCCTTTATTTTGCTGTTGACTGAAAACATTTGGATTTAACATCAAAATGGAGAAATGAGACAAGAGAGCTAGCTACATTTTAGCTTGTTCAGATATATATATTTTCATCTGCTGCACAACTTAGGGGGACAGAGCCACTGCACAAACGGTGGCCAAAAACCATTGCAACCATTTGGAATGTCCTGAAGATTAAAGTAACACGCATCCCCAACCATTTCAGTCATTTTTCTTAAAAATCAGCAAAGAGGAAATTAAAAACTAATCTGACTGCATAATAAAAGGCAACCTTTAAAAATAGATCATATATAAGACACAATAAATTAAAGTAAATTGTAACACGAGGAAAAAGAATCTAAGACACTTCCATATCAATCATGAAACTGATTTAAATCACTAAAGGTGTTTCCCTAATTTGCTTGTTCAAACACAATGTGTGTCTGTTTCACTACAGCCAAGACTAATAACATTTTGTTCAGTCAGCAAGGCGTGCCTCAGTGACACCTTCCCATGCACACATACACGTGTGCACCCATCCACATAAAGGCTCTTTGGTAGTATAATAAAGCAATAAAGGATGACATTTAAACGTTGATCATGGCGTATTAGTGAGCCCCTTCTGACAAGCAAATATGCTCTCAGGAAGTTGCGCTGCAATGCACTCCACAAACTCCTGATTGTCGCAATTGTTGTTTTAATGAAGGGTAAGGAATTGACAGGTGTCTTTGCTAAACTGAAAGATCCCCCACCCTCCCCCATCTCCTTTAAATTAGCATTTTCACATTGCACAGTAAGTCAAACTCATACAGTCACCTTAAAACGCAAAAATGCCTACTGGAAGAAATGAGCCATTTTTGGGGGATGGAACATATAATGTTTCAAAAATATACACTCAAGAGGACAATATTGGGTACATCAGATCCAATACAAGAGCTGTATCAAGACAGCTGCTGTTACAGTTTACAAAGATAAAAATACTCAGTTCTGACTGACACGGTTTAGAGAGAGGTACCAGTATTCATTTATAGTCTCTGTGTGTGAGTGTTAGGGGCATCTTTTTTCAAAGACAACACAAAAACACACACCACATCACAGGATAATCACTCGGATTGATCTTTCAGGCATCCAAAAATCGGGTGTTTTGTGACTTTGATCAGAAAGGGGGGGGGGGCGCTGATATTAATATGATCCTATGTGTGAACCCCGGTTGAAGAGAAGGACAACACATTTGAATTGAATTTGTAAAGGCAAATATAACCCAAGCATGATACTGATCCAAAACCTGAATGTATTGCTGAAAATGTATTGACAGAAGCCTTAATCAAGATAAAAACACATAATTTAACACGCACTTTTTATAATACGTGTGATTTGTTTAAAAAACATCAATATATGACCTGGAAGAGTGTGCACTGTGTTTTTACGTCAATTTAGTACAACAAAGTAATTTCCAAAAAGCTATATAGTTGGGAGTCACTTGTTGTCATACAAAATGTCTGAAATCTACAACTCGGTTTGAAGTGTTGACCAGCAGGCCACTGAGTCCGAAACACATTACCACACGGTGTATGCGTGATATTTCAAGGTTCTAAAGAACAATAAAAGATTACTTAAAAGTCACACTGTTTTCAGCGGAACGTATCGTGTCTTTTAAAAGAGAAACAGAATGCGTGCATGTGTCATGGAAGTTTCTCTAACTCTCACCTGACAGGACGAACCCTCCCAGGAGAAACAGATGCCATGTCGGACACATGAGACTGACAAACATCGATGCCGTCTCAACACGGACAGTCCCTTCATATATATATAAAGAGGGCAGGCATGTATGTTCCCACGGTTGGCAAAAACAAACCAAAAAGTATGCGTGAATTCCGCTCCACTCCACTCCCCACCGTATAAATCTTGAGTCACCTCTCCGAGCAAGAACATACCTGATGGGCGGTGTTTGGCAACTTCTTGCATAACCTGTTGCTCTGCCTCCTCAAATTATCTCAATGTAGCCTCGAGTTTAATCCTCATATATAAAGAGATTTTTTTCCATCTGATTCTTTTTATCTAAAATCGCAGGTCTCTGCGAGTTAATTCCTGCGACACAAATACAAATATAATACTAACAATCTTTGCCTCCACCTTGTGGGCAACATAAAAAACATACAATACAATACATGCTGATTTATATAGCGCTTACAATAACGCAACAGAGCACAAAACACTAAGAAATAAAACAAAAATAAGATTCATTCATTCAAAACAAAGGTCAAATAATACACAATTTTTAAAATGTTATCAATTTCCTACAGTACTCTGAGAAACTGCTTAACTGAATTCAAACGTGTATATTGGTTACACACGATTAAAATGTGTTCAACTAATAATAATAATAATAATAAGAATAATAATGATAATAATAATAAGAATAATAATAATGATAATAATATATCGTTATTTTGGAGTAGAAGAGGGGAAAATTACTTTACCATGTTGTAATCATGTGCAACCGATGGAAATGGTTTTAAGTACTGTACATTATTTTAAGATCCATTATAATGGAATGCAGGATTTTTTTCTTCTCAATCATGCTGAATTTGGGAAAGTCCATAAGAAAAGCTCATTTAAGCATCATTGCTCAAAGTATCGTATTGGTTGAGGGAATCAATTTAAGGTCGAGAATTGAAGATTTTTTTTCTTTGAGTGGTAAAATATTTAGGAGAAAAATACAAACGAGGCCAGAAATAAAGGTTTATTGTGTAAGAAAGTGTCTGCATATTATCCCATAATTCATTGCGAGCCTGGCGCGCGGCTTTAATGATAATACCACGAAAATTAATAATATCGTATTTATATGTTACAGTGTTTACAAAATGACATATAGAAATATTTCAATATATACGTGTTTTTAAAGCGTTCACGAATGCCTGCATTGCACTAACCTCCCCCACAACATTAAAGCAAATTGTCGCACCGAAACACTCTCTCCTCAACAAGATCTCTGGTAGTTGCCTTCTTGACACGCCTTTTGTTGTCTCGCCTAGCTTAGAGTCCTTTTGATGCTACTATAGCGAGCATCCCCAGCGTCAAACTGCGAGACAGCTGTCAAGTCTACGACGCAGCTCCCGTCAGCCTCGGCTCGAGAAGTGACGCTCTGCACTTTGCAAGGTTGACCGTTTCCTAAAATGCAATAACACATGACATTATTCCGCCTTTCGTGTCGAACGCGAAGCACGTTTGTGTCAGATGCAGCTTGCAGTAATACTAGTGTCCTGCGTTTAGCTAGCTAACAACCCAATGAGACAAAAACCCTCCGTGGCTCTAACAGCGGGTCTCTTTAATCCTAGTGTTGATTCTGGGATTTTATAAGCAGTCGCCTTGAAAGCGAAAGTAGTCTGGGTGCATATTAGGCCACGCTGTCTGCTCCTAAAACGTTAATCGGCTGCTGCGCGGCTAATGTCTGTGCTAGCTGGTGCTGATGCGTCTCTCCTCAAATAAATGGCGTACATCCTGTGCAGCTTTATACTTTGCATCCGTATTTTTTTTAATCGCCCGTGCATGTCTATTTTAATTTAGTAGTTAGTAAACGCTCTGGTCTATTCTGCAGGATGAGTGGCGATGGTGATGGTTTCAACCCTGCTGCAGTGGCTCAGCCAGTCGAGGATGTGCAAGGAGATGGGCGGTGGATGTCACAGGTATGGCTGTGGTATTTTTATAGCGTCCCAATATAATTTTTATAAACCAGTCATAAAAGGTGTCATGCGCCGATACAAGCCATACATATTTTCTTGCCTGTTCTATATAATTCTGGCTTCCAGATAGGGCCCTGAAAGATTAAACACAAATGCTGTGGGTGCCCATTTTGGATCCAATTTACTTAGAGTACTATTTTATCCAACTTGTTTAGTAACGCCACATGGTAGGTCCCTGCAAGGTTAATCCATCGATGCTAATAGGACTGAGACAGTCTGCTACAGTTCAAACTCTCCATCAGATCGGACACCAGACGTTTCACACAAGCGGAGCAGGATTTTGTCTTTCCCACGTGGCAAAGACTAATTTCAGCTAAAAATCCAGGCTGACTTTATTTCCTCCCCGACAAAGCTAGGATCGGTCAATAGGAATAACTTCAAAATACTAAATTTTTAAAAAAGCGCAAAAAATGTAAACATCTCCCAAACTCTTTTCTGACAAGGTTTTGTTTGTTATTTTTTTAGCACACTCGATTTGTGCAGGAGTGCAAGGATGGAGAACCAGATGTGCTTTTTGTTGGGGATTCTATGGTACAACTAATGCAGCAGTATGAGGTAAGATGGTTCTTACTGAGGTGGATTGTTCTCAGTAATTTCATCCATTTTTGGAACTTGGAAAAATGACTATCCGATTTGCTTGTACAGGTCTGGAGGGAGTTGTTCTCACCACTCCATGCTCTCAACTTTGGCATCGGAGGCGACAACACCTGCAACGTGTTGTGGCGGCTGCAGAACGGAGAGCTCGAGAACATCCGTCCCAAGGTTGGTGTGACTCTGTTTGCCTGCTGTGAGCTTGTGTCCTTGCTCACATGTGCAGTCTGTTCCTGCACTCAAACATACACTTGGCTGCCCCTGACCTTACCATCTTGGTTGTATCAGGAGCAGGTGTCGTAAATGGAGTAGTGGAACCTTACAGCTGTAATGTTGACTGTCCAAAAGCTTTACAGCTTAAAGTTGGACCCAAATTCAAACTCCGCATTATGTTGATTCCCTTTTATTTTGGCTGCTACATAGAGAGTTACTGTGACGTAAGATGCCCCTTTTTCAGATTTTTGTCCAGCATTTGTACCTTTTTCATTGGCGTGACACTCAGAGATGATTCCCAGTAGCCGTCAATGTCCCGCTAAGTGCGTTGAACACTGTTTCTTGTTTTATTTTGCTATGTTTCTACTTGTGTTGGTTTGATTGGATTCTCATTCAGTCTCAAGTCACTTTTTTATCAACAAAGGACTTTTCTTTGACTCTTCTGTGACTTGTCAGGTGCATTTGAGTCACAAGCATTTGTGTGATTTGATACAAAACAAGCACTGTGCTTGTCACAAGTAGTCGCGTATTCTGTGTGATGTGTTTTGACATTTGACATTACATTTGTGGTTTATTTCATATGAGTATTGTGTGACGGTCAATGAAATGACATTACCCATGGGTGCGACATTCCAAAATAAGGAGTAGAAAAGCTTTCATAAGATGGACAGGAATGTCACTGAGTTATGTAAACAGCGTAGGAGCAACATTCTCGTGTGCACACAAGACTCTAGTTCCGAAAAAGAACAGTGAAAATGAGCCTAACATCTGTTTTTGGTTTTGTTTTAGATTGTGGTGGTGTGGGTAGGAACCAACAATCACGAACATACGGCAGAACAAGTTGCTGGAGGAATTCTTTCGATTGCAAAGCTGCTCACCTCCCGTCTACCCAAAGCCAAAGTAGTTGTGCTGGTAAGTTCACATTTGTTTGCTTTCGGTTCCATCAAATGTATGAACTGTTTTTTTAGAGCTGCGTTTCTTTCCTTTACTGAGTCAAGCAACATACTTAGAATAGAAAAATATCACTGCATACAAACATATAAAAAAAAAACAAACAAACAAACAAACAAACAAAAAGACCGCAGGACCCAGTTAGGATTGTAATATTTTAAAGTATCTATCAAGCACTATCCCTGCTGTCTCACACAAAGTGTGCCTGACTTGTTCAGTTGAAAAAATGTCAACAAGTGAGACGTTTTAAGACTGCTGCTTCACTTTATCAGCACCTTGGCATCTTCAAGAAAGCAATTGCAACCACAAAGCGCCGTGAAAACGAAACATTTCAAAGGTCGTGTACAAGCCAAGTGAAGACCAAGCTTCCATTTAAAATTTGTTGCGTTTGCATTGATTTCAAACCAAACCGGTTCTCAGGGATTATTACCACGGGGGGAACGTCCAAACCCCCTGAGGGAGAAGAACGCCACCGTCAATGACTTTCTACGCTCCTGGCTGCCTCGTCTCGGCCAGGCTCAGTTCCTGGACGTGAGCGGCGACTTCGTCCACTCTGACGGCACCATCAGTGCGCAGGTCATGTTCGACTTCCTCCACCTTACGTCGACGGGTTACCGCGCCGTGGCCAAGCCCCTCAGCGACCTGCTGCTTCAGATACTCGAGGAAACGCCGGAGGAGCGAAGGGCGTCGCTGGTTTGAGCCACCGAGACGCGGCGGCGCCCAAATCCTGCCCCTGGTGTCGGGAGGAGGAATGGCACCCTGAGATGGGCGTGTCTTGGTGTTGATGTGTGGAGCATTGGTGTTGGTGCTGTAGAGGGAGAGAGAGACATCACTACACTCTTGAAATGACTGACTGCCTGAGACCTTGTGTGAGCGCACTGTCAGATCAAATTAAGTATTTCTCTTGATTTCTGAGCTCCATCACTCACTCACTGATATGAACAGCCTCGTTTCTTCCTCTATTATCTTGTCATGGTAAAATGTTTGACAGCAACTCTGTTAACTTGTACAATGTTTAAAGTCTGCTCAGAAGGAAAAAAAAAGTGCTTAATGTCCTTCAATCGTTACTTATTATTTCACAGTCAGTATAAAAAAAATATATTTGCCAAACAGCACAGAAAAATAGCACGGTTTTGCTTTGTGGTTTATCACCTAAAGACTCTATTTGCTCTTTTTCAGTGACTTGATGGGTAAGGGATGAATTCAGATGAAATGTTTTGTTTTGTAAAACACGCGGAACCAATTTCAGCGACGTGCAACCAGGTTACCCGACATCGTAGACGCATTTTGTTTGCAACACAATTGAACTTGTTTCAACAAAGTCACTGATCATGTACGTTGTTATGTATCCTGACGTGGACGGACAATGACACTCTCTCCCCCTAGTTCCCTGTCTTGATGGTTATACAGTATTTTCTGTCTTACGCACCTTTTCATTATGTTAACTTTTTTTTTTTTTGTAATTTTATCCCCCTCGTTGGCGTTTCGTTTTCTCACTGACCTCTAACACAACCTTGCTCCTTCTGTAAATCACTACCCAATATTTTAGGAATAAAAAGTTGCAGAAGCTACTGAATATCATCATCACGCTACCATGCAAAAAAAAAAAAAATGTCGGCAAACTTATGCTAAAGCTTCTTTATAGCTCAATAAGTCACATACTGAGCTTCGAATTATCTTAAGTTACTGCTGTCTTAAGCTCTGCACAATGCGTGCTTTGTTCAAGTATGTACAGGTATGATTATGTGTGTGAGTGAGCGTGCGTCGAATGTCTACGGGAACAGTTGTGTACAGTTTTGGAAGTTGGAGTGGTGCGAGTGTTTAGAACTGACCCCGGCTGTATATAAGAGATGTGGAAAGGATGCCTGAAGGGGAGTTAGATTGCAGGAGTTTGTCGGTGTGATCCATCATGTGCACTTGTTTGGCTTGTCGTCTCGTTCTTGAGTTAAAAGTAAAAGCATTCCAATAAAGAAAAATCATGGATGGAATTCATTTGCGTCCGAGGGGCCATGCTTAGTTTTCTTCAGTTTTTGCTTCTTGATGACAGATGGAATTAAGGCCATTCAGCTTTCGAGTGAAATTTCAGGATACTGTAATTAAAAAAAAAAGTTCTTTGATCTTTAAAGGTGAACTGAATTTGATCTCTAGAACTCTGAATGCAAGATGTACAACTGTTCAGTGCTTCGGTACTTTTTGCACAGCTTGCTGTTCTCTTCGGAAGGAGCTCAGTGATACAAGTTCACAACAGGTTTTTAATCCAGAAAAATTTTCAAGGCTGTCTTACACCTTTCTGTGACTTCTCTATTTCTTTAAACATGCTTTTGAAAGTTAAATGAAAGTCACATTAAGTTCACCTGTAAAATAATAGTGGGCCTTGGTGTTCATCAGAAACGAGACTTTTTTTTATTCCTCAAAAGTACCGTGTAGTTCATATTGTGAGCCACTGACACATTAAGCATAATTTGAACATTAACAATGTGCTTGAATATTGGAAAAATGTCGTAAAATTGAGTAAATTAAGGTGACAGCCTTCGTAGAACATATAGTTTTATGCCAATTTGATATTTTTTGTTGCAGGTGTCTTGAGTTAAATTTCCTTTTTAAATCACCTGTTTCAGATACTCACCAGCAGGGAGCGCTGTTAAATTAAAAACTGGAAAAGACTGCTACATGCGATTTTTTTTTTTTTTTTTATCCGCATCGTTACTATTACCGTTGCCATTCACCAGCCACTCCCTGACGTTTTAGTTCAAATGACCCAGTTACGAATGTTTGATTTACGCAGCGTTCATGTTTCGGCTAGTACATTTGATCTGCCCTCCTCATCAGTTCGGGAAAGTTTATTTTACTCCTTATCGTGTGTCAAGGACCTGCCATGTGTTATAATGTCTGCTTGAAAAGAATGGCAATGGATTTTGCAGAGTTTAAAACCACTTCCACACGCTCAGGCCTGGAACTAATGTACTCGTAATTGAGTAATCCAGAGTTGGAACGTCACAATCTTGACACGTCCACTTTTCTGGTGTGTTTACGTTGTCGTGGATCCAAATCTGCAGGAATTCTGCGTTCACGTAAATAGTACGCATGCCTGGCCGCGCACATTTCCATTTGTCTTGATTCGTCTCTGCTCGTAAAGTTCAAACTTTCTGTTCCCAGCAGGCATTTGAAGTTTCACGATAAAAATCTTCATGGGAGCAATGTTTGCTCTTCGGGCGCTGTTAACCGGTTACGCTTGGCTTCAGTTCAGTTCTTTTTATCACTCAGGATTGGAAGTGTTTTTTTTTTTTATCACATCTGCTGCCAAGTGTAAGCAATAGGTCGGCGGTTATTGAATCCTTATGTTGTCTGCTTCACATAGCTTTATTATGAAATTGATAGAGCAACATCCCAGTGGGAGTGAACTGCAGCATAGTAAAAATGCAGTGGATTTGGTCTTTCAATAATATTCGTGTGTTTTTCTTTTGTTGTCCTACAGCCTCTGTTCTTGGTTATCCGAATAGTGTTTGATCGGTCAAATAAATGTTCATTATTGTGTAATTTGTAATTTGTGGTTGTCGTGAAGTGTACTGCATCATATACCAAGCTGTTTGTCTTATTTTTGACTCCCATGTATGCTAAAGATAACACCAGTTTAGAGCTCAGTATTAAGCAGTACAGTATTCACAATATTCTTAAATGACTACCACTAGGAAACATATTGTAAAATGAATATGTTACATCAACATAATATATTTGTATTTGTAAAAGCCGAATATTTGATACAGCTCCTGTGTTGGATATCATTATGTTGTGCAAGTGGTCGTAATGTTGTGGCTGATTGGTTTATATAGCCAATTTTATGGCGACACACTGTGTCAGTATATATTTGCATACGTTTTCATCTTGAGTGCTGGCTGTCTTGATGGGTGTCTGAAGTCATTTGTGAAAAAAATAACTCAATGTGTCACTGATCACATATTGGACTTCAGTTTTTGGCAGCAGAAGGTAGCGTTTTATAGGGGAAGCACCTGCTTCCTGACTAAGATCACGCAACACTGGTGCACGTTATGCACACAGATGCTGTTGAGTGACACCAAATCTAAAAAAACACTGTCAGAGATCTACTCCCTATTGACTAAATCAGTAATGTTGACCTCTAACCCTGTGACGCAGCAATCTCATAAGAAAACAAACAGTCCAGCTCACCAAGCATTTAAATGACCAAGTGTCCTGTAATATTTGCTTTGTTCATTTACCCATTTCTGTCTAAAATTGCTGATTTTTTTCAAATCATGTTCAATTCTTTTTTTAAAAAAAAATAAAGAAAATATTACAAAAATATACACGTCAGTGTTTATGTTCTATTAAATCAATCATTACAATTAAACGAATAAATAAAAATGAGCTCTTTTATTCCTAAATTAAGTAATTTTACAGACCATTAAAAAAAAAAAAATCAAATGTAGCCCTTGAGCACAAGGTGTACCCGCCCCTGCACTAGATAAACCAAGTTGGTTGTTCATACGCACATTGAGATGGGTCACAGCATTTTCAAACTGCCCAAAGTCTACTCCAGCAACAGGCCATCGGAATTCATTAACGGCCATCGATTTGTGAGCTGCAACTCTCAGTAATTGTCTCGGTGCTTGAGCTAATTCAGCAGGTCTTAGGTCAGGTCAGGCTGTCCAGTTTATTTCCGTGGCCTTTCACCTCAAGCAATGACTTTTTGATTGCTGCCTTTTGTAGTGTGACCCGATGACTGCGGGGTGACATCTTGTAGTCACACGCAAGTGGAGAAAGTGGAATGAATCTGCTATAAGGATGGTGTGCTTTTATTTAGAAGGCCTGCCTTTTGACACATGAGAAGCCAGAAAGAAGAGAAGAAGAAAGGAAGCTTGGTGGATCAAGGGAGACTTTTTTTTTTTGTCTGCAGCAGGGCTCAAACTGGTCCCAAATCCCAAGTCCTCATCTATAAATAACAAGAAATTAAAAACAAAACAAAAAAATCTTATGGGCTCAGACAAGCATATTTCCAGTCAAAATGTCATATCTCCAACCTCAAGGCTATTGTTACCCAGCTATGCCCCTGTATGGCATCAAAGTACATTCCACATGAGTGAGGCAAGCGGTGTGTTGCGCTTTGGCACTTTTTATACAACTGATGAAAAAAAAAAAGGATCCCTTGTAAAAAAAAAAATAATAATAAAAAAAATCATAATCTTATTTGCTGTCGTAAAACAGTCTGCCCGGCAAGTGTAGAAGTGTTGAAACGTGTGTGTGTGTGTGTGTGTGTGTGTGTGTGTGTGTGTGTGTGTGTGTGTGTGTGCGTGTGTGTGTGTGTGTGTGTGTGTGTGTGTGTGTGTGTGTCTCCCTTATGTGCAGCTAGTTTCTCATTAATCCCCAATATCCTCTTCGTGCTACATTTGGAGCAGACGGAGATAAGAATGAGGAGTAAGGCAAAAGGAAGTCTTTTTGTTTGGCCGCCCTCTGTAACTACTCCTTTGAAAATGCTTGCAACATTTCATGGCTGCTCTGCCTTGACTTGACCTTTCTGAACTCAGATGTCATAATCTCCTGTGCTAGATGCTGTCATTTCAACACAGCGTAATGTTCTAGATGCTTTATCTCTGTCTCCATCTCCTTCTGTAACTCACTTATCTGTTATGACGTACTTTCCTGACTTTGACATTTGTCCGAGTCACGACATGCTGGGTATTTATGCACTGACACATCAATACAATGGCTGCTCCTAGTAATAGTCGTCTTCTCGTGTATCTTTCACCACTGCATTCACTCCCTGACTATAGAGGCTTCTCCATTTTTTTGGACAGGTTGGGGTTTTTTTTTGTTTGTTTAGCTGCAGATGTAGCAGTGCTTTGCTGAATGCTAAAATCATCAGATAAAGTTATGTTTCAAGATATGATGTTAATTAACACAAGTCCTGTTAGAGTGCAGCGCAAACTTTCGTCACCTTTAGCGTCTGTTTGAACACATAATTCGGTTATTCTTTTGCAGACCACTAGAGGGAGCCCACAAACCATGTGAACCACTTTGAAAATCGCTACTTTAAATGCTGACTGAGCTTAAGTCTCACGGCATTTTTGTTAATGTCTGCTATTTTTATTTTGTAGCATATTTTCCCCAGATCATTTTAGTTGTACTCCAAATTTCAGTGTCATCGACTTGGGAGGTTTCACTGTACTGTACCGACGTGTATGCAAGGCTTAATGTCGTGGTCACCTTCTTGTGCAACACGCGCCATTATGTTTCATCACACAGCAGGCTTCCCAAAAAGTTAAAAGGAACTTTATTTTCAAAAGATTTTCAAACAGAATGTATTACACCAAAAAAAAAAGGCCATCATCTTGATTGGAAAAGTAAAATATTGTCAACAGAAACGTAGCAAAAGGATTGCTTGATGCGTCCAGCTATCTTGTTGTATTTTGTCCAATTTCCTTTTGACCTTTGCTTTATTCCGCCACATCTGTGTTGCGCTTCAGCAAGGAATGATTTCAGCTTAGTTGCCTTGAATGCACCGTAAGTAAAGCCCACAAGTAGTGGAATCAGATGGATTTGATCCCCTCAAACCTCCAAATTGAATTAACCTAAATGTCATTCAGCTGTAGTATTAATTTTTTGTTTGCTTTTGGAATGAACCTTGCAGAAGACGTACTTTAGCTGTTTCGCTGGCAGTGAAACTCTATTGGCATATGTAGACGTTATGTGCACACGGTTGCTTTGGTCCCCGTTTTTTGGTCCAGTTTGGTGTGAAAAACAGACGGGTCACATTGGTCCTCCTGGCCTGAAGATTTACTGGAAGTGGAAGAGTTTCTCCATTTTATGCTGGCTGGTCTGTCTGTCACCAAGCAGAGGGAACATCACAACACTTTTTGACCTCAGTTGTTGATTACAGTATCTGCCTGGGTCTCCCGTAGCTTGTCATGCCGGCTTGAGACGCCAACTTGTTTGTGCCCATTTGCAGGCCGATGACGGTTTTGCCTTCGCTCAACTGCTCGTCAGAAAAATCCCTCCTGTTCTCTTGAGCCTTCCTGTGGACAAACGGTATTTCTTTCTTTAAAAGGTATATCTACAAGACTAATTTCTTTCATGCACTGTCGCTTACATATTTTTGTACAGAAAAAAAGGAGGGAGGTGGCGTACTTATGAAACCAGCTGGGGTCTCCTTTGTAATTCCCATCATTCTTTGTGACAGCCAAGCTACCCAGAGACGCCAAAGTCCTCTGGACAGCCGCCAAATCCTTGCCTGGAGATAAATAATCAAATCAATAAAACACGCCACAAACACGATTGTTGCGCGACACACACACACACACACACACACACACACACACACACACACACACACACACACACACACACACGCATTAGTCTTACTTTCAAAAAGGTCAACAGTTTGGAATATGTCCATTTTTGTGACTCCGTATTTTTCTGCTGCATTAAGGAACAAGGAGATTTGCTCCATTTGCCCAAAGGCCATTTTGGAATTCTTGATGCTCTTTACGGGCTTGTTGGATGGATTCAAGCTGTTGATGAGCTCGCACAACACCTAGAGACACCAAAAATAGCATAAATATGTCGCAGTAAACAGTAGGGATGATAATTCTGCATCCAACTTACACATCCATTCTTTAGCCATCCCTGGAAGCCGGATTTGCCTGCCTCTGGCCGGCCCACAGTAGGTCCACACTGGGCCACGATCCACTCCACCAGCGTTTCCTCAAGCTCCGTGTCGTATTTTTTATCAATCTTACTCTGTACCTCGCGGGTGAGACCGTAAGATGGGCCCCTGTTTGCCATGTTGATCCTGTTCGAAGGGAGAGTTGGGTTTTAGAAACGGCAAGAGGATTTCCGAGCACTCGGCAAGTTATTGTGCACGTTCCGGAATGCACATTGAATGGAACATTTAATGATGGGCTCATGCACTAGCACTGGGAAATCAGGAGGGGAAAAAAAGCAGTAAGACAATTCCCTCAATTCAGATGTTCAAATCATTGTGTATGTATGAGAAAACAGTGCAGTTTGCAGTAGAGATAAAGTGACATACCTTTGTTGTACAGCTAGACCTGATAGAGACTATAAAATGTTCTGTTGATATTTGTGTCATCCCATCCTGGCTGAGTATTTATAGTCCGTTTTTTTCATGTGTGACAGACAGAAAACACTCTCTTGTTTATGTGCCCTTTCATGTCTTTTATTTAAAACAATCTCCCCCTCATGGTAATCTGATTTTATTTTCTTCCCCTACCGCATATTGTTTTAACTGTTAAAATCTTCTAATTGTCTAAACTGGTTCAAGAAATTACAGCCGAACACTTAAAGTACTAAAATTGTACTATTCAGAATTCATATGTGGAAAAGCCACAGGGGGAAAAAAATCCAGAAATCCTAATGCTGTCAAGCATGACTTGACGTGACACGACACTTTCTTTTGCTTCTCTTTGTTTTGATTTTTCAATGCATTTTATTTTGACTTCCGATTGCACAAACCAACGCTCTCTATGACCACATTTGAGGCTGTTCCAGAAGAGATTGTGTTTCCCTGCGGTTGCACTGGATTGTTTGCAGAGACTATAGCAGCTCTGTGCTCTACTTCTTACTTACACAGACTTCGAAGAAGTCGAGGCGGTAACAGATTGTTGCTGCAATTCTCTTTCAGTACATGAAACAATCATGACAGCGGCAGTTACGCAATCGCTCCCATTTCAGTCACACCCACTCCCCCACCACTTATATTTACAAACACATCATTGCAGTCTCCCAATTTGTATATGTGTGCTGACATGTCACAAGAGAAAAGGACGGAAGAACTCATGTCATGACATTGTCAGAGGAGGAGTTGGAAATGTCAAGTATTCTTTTTCTGTCATGGTATATCCCCATAAACAGACATTATGAGTACGAGAACATGCAACACACACACACAAATGCCAGATCCATCTAATAGGGTGGCTGCAGAAACTGCTCTTTTCTCAAAAAAATAGAACAGTGTTTCTTAACCTGGGTTTGGTGAATCGCTCTCAGGGGATCGACGGAGCCTTAGCCGTGGAGGTTCAGACGCACCTGACTCGATCAACGTGTCAATGAGTTATGACACGCCCGCTTAGCCATCATTGGTTACAGATGATCACATTACGTTGCTTGCCCAATCAGTGCGGCGGGAAATTTAGTTCCGGTGACTGTCGCGATAGTACGTCGTACAATTTAAAAAACGTACATTTATGCCTTGAAATTGAATTTCCTTTTTTCTGTTTTTAAATAAATGTGTTATTTTATGTCTTGAATTTTAAAAATATACATATTTTTAAATTTTGTACTTGTGAAGGCTACGGTGAATGTGCATATGAACTGGTTGGGTTCGGTACCTCTAACGAGGTTACGAACCACTGTAATAAAAATAGAATTCAGCTGTTCCTCGGTCAAACTAATAAAAACCTTTAACAACTGTCCTTTTTACCTACCCTGTACAGTGAATTTAGAGATCCATCCGTCCCTCCGTTTTCCAATCCGTTTATCCTCACGAGGGTCGCGTGACGGCGGGGGACTCCCCGAACTGGTTGCCAGCCGATCGCAGGTTTAAAGATCAAGATAGAGAACTGTGTAGTATTTTTGATACTAATGTTATACTGTGTGTGAGGTGGCTATGCTTGTACCCTGAAAATGCATCTTCCCTTTATGCTGTGATTTACAGAACAGCTCATTGTTGTCATTTATATTCCAAAGAAGCGGATGAGCGCGCTGCCCTTCTGATAGCTGAATTAACAGTTAATTAGACAGTTGTCAAAATGAACTACTGCGAAACATAAAAACTATTATTCTGTAAATACCCTCCGAATTTTACAGCTACACGGGGTTTTCAACTTTGAAAACTCCACTATGAGATATGCTTGTCTGACAACAGTTTCAACGAACATTGTACAGCATTTATTTACCATATTGTGTGATTCATAGGGGCCTTTTGGCAACTTGAAACTCAAGTGTGGGGAAGAGTTGTGAGCTTTCCTGTAGTTTTCAACATAACTCTTCATCTGTGACACAATGATCCCCTCCTCAGGGTTTCTTGCGTTTTTTTCCAAATGGGTTTTTTGTTAGTTTTTCCTTGCCCAGATGGGAGGTTTAGACCAGAGGATTTTGTCAATCTTTGTGAACTGTGGCTTATAGTGGAGCCTTTTCAGACACTTTTGTGATTAAGGGCTAGATAAATAAACTTTGACTGCCTGCTTTTTGTTCCTTTTTCATTTTTTGAATCTTTCCATGCAAAAGTGTCCCATTTGAAAAGCCTTTGAGAGGCGCCGCACGTCTTAGCGATCAACAGAAAGGTGAACATTTTGATAAGTTCCAGCAGCCTTGTTTTCTCTGAATCATGGCCGACTTCTACCTCCTACTAATGCCCGTGTGGGCTTCCTGTTGGCTTCCACAGAATAGTCCTCCTTCCTGCATCCTGTTTGCTCATTCAGCTGTCACTTCCTTCCTCTCTCGCTAACAAAGAAAGGTTATGTTGTTTACAAGAGTCTAAACAAAATGCCTGCTGCTCACTGCAAGCAAGAACTGCCCTAATACCCTTCACAAAGCCCAGTCGGGAAAGTGTGTTGTAATAGTGTTCAAACAGCTAAATCCCTCATTTGAATGATTTTGTGGCATATTTTACTGAAATAGATGCCATATGGAAGTGTTTAGCGCAAGTAGGAACACCCCCCCCCCCCACTTCCTATTTCTCGCCTTCACGACTGTGGTAAATATGCCCACTGCAAGTATTAGGAATGAGCTTCGTATTTTATCACTGCAGTCAAAGTGCTTATGTGTTGTGAAGCACCTTTTGTTCCCTCAGGGCAGAAGGTCAGACCTATTACATCCCTTGCAAAACAGGGGCCTGACTTGCACAAGGCGAGCTTGCCGTGTGACAAATGATCGTTTTGTCTAATGGCTCCACGCTGCTTTGGATGAGATCTGCGTCTGTTTATTGTCTTGAGGTTGCAGCGGTTATACGGGCGGTAAGAGCATAGGCCTGTTCGCGTCATGATTCCAAACCAGCTCACTTTATCAAAAACATCTGCTAGGACACTTATCTCTCCCGGTCTCAGGATCTGTGCTGTCCGGGCAGATCCCAACTACTCCAGACGTACTTATCTCTGAATAAAATGAAGGCGGAGAAATCTGTATACTTTGACCTTAACGTTCACTTTGAGCCCTCAACCGTGCGTGTAAACAGCTGATTGGAGGTCCCAAAAGTCTTCCTGGTGTGAAAAATCACGGGTTATTTTTCGGTGTTTATAAACACATACTGCCCAGTGACAGCATGACTTAAATCATATGCTTTTGATTAGCTAATTCAGTGAGTGGCACATTTTCTTGGAATGGATGATTCAACACGAGGGGGAAAAATGGATTCATTGTTACTATTCAGGTCGTATCATTTTCCATGGTTAGGAATTTGCATTCTTTAGCGCCTGTCCTCATTCTGCTCAAAGCTATCCCAGGTGACTGGGGAAAAGACGGGGCACACCTTAGAAAATGGTGCCACACCCGCCCTCCATTCAAGTTAAATGAGTACCAGTAGTCATTAGTTGCTCCCTCCCAAAAAAACAAATTAAAAACATTCAAAAAAAAAAAAAAAAAGATTAGATGCACCCAACTTCATTGACTCATTATATGTTACGTATATTACATAAATGTGTCCCTTTGTACGCTCCAGACGATAATTCACAGACACTTCCTGAACTATGGGATTGGTTCTGTAGTTCCCAGACTAGCAGCAGGAAAAGGAAAAGAAAACAGAACGTTAATCATATTCCAAAGGAGAGCGAATGCGACATCAAACTCCAGTGCGGGGAAGAGGTTGTTCGCTTTTCGTTACTGCTAAGCGTGTTGAAGAGTACACGTATTTGAACATGGTGGTGCTTCATTTCACTGCTTTGTTCCTCTTTTTACACTTGGGTGACAAATACAACGTGGATCTGCAACACAAACCACACCTTCGTTATTTGCCTTGAGAGTCGACGCTTAGTGTTTTATTGTTGGAGTCTAAGAATCACTTGATGCGCTTCTTCACTGCAAGTGAATAACACTATCGACCGTTTCACTGGTACTTCAAATGGTGTGTGGAGTACATACAAGATTCACGTTTGACCTGGAGCAGATTACGGCGACCAGCATTTCAGAAGAGATTGTGGAGGAATGTGTCGCTTATTCAGGATGGCTGACTCTTTGACACTCATACAACTTACTACTTGCAGTTCTAAAATCACGTCGTTTTAGGGGCTCACAGTTATCTGCACAGTATCTGGGGATTGCTTATGATAGCATGTTCATTTTATCACTACCGGTAGTAAAACCGGGCCCTCAGTCCCTGAAGCTGTGTTACTCGTATAACCCAGGGTGTTGCTGATTTCTTTTCTTTCAATTTGGCAATTTCTCTGTTGTTGCATCAGGTTGAGTTTTGCTGCGTAAGACCCGTAACACGTTACATTCCGATGATGGACACAAGTTATTTGATCCGAAAAGAATTGAATGAAACCTCGCTAGCGTTGACGCAGACTGTGAATTCAATGCGGCCACACCTAATGTATAGGCCCTTGTTTTCGGAACGGTTATTATTTAAAACAAATGATTGCTTTTGTGCTGTCAGCTGAGCACTCTGTCTAACTCCCAGAAATCCTTGAGCTGATACAGTTTTGCAATTCTTCACAAGTGCAAAAAAGGGAGAAATAGGAAAAACAAACAATCAAAAACATGCTTTTATAACACTGCAAGAAGGGACTTTGATCAACTGATTCCTGGTCTGAGGGTGCCAGATAGAAGGCAACTTTCAAGACTTCTTGCAGAAAGTTAACCTTTAGCCTGCGCTGAAATTGAAAAGTGACAAGTGGGGTGAAGAGGGAGCCTTTACTTACTTTGTGTCGTCGCGTTCAGGTAAGTAATGGTACACTTGTCTTGTCTTGTCTTGTCTTGTGCTGCTCTCCTTCCCCTCTTATCTAATCCCCTTCAGCACAGTACACTGTGCACTGCGCAGGTTGCCAAGGTAAATACTCCAAACACCCTCGTCTGAAATATATGACTTCACCACATTCAAGAGAAAAGAGGGAGGCAGAGAAAAGAGATACGCCTTCGCGTCCTCTTATTTCACTCTGTGACCCGCCCCTTTGCTCTTTCTCCCCTTCTTTGCGCAAATTGTAATTCCTTATTTAGGAGAAGGAAGGGAAGGAAAAAGAGGCCATGTGACAGGGGAGTTTGGTGTGGTCACTGAGAAGCATTTTCCAAATATCTCAAACCCCCACCTCCTGCCCCACCACTGAACAGCACTGGATTAGTGGGGGCAAGAGGGAGGAATGATAGAGGCATCAAGAACAGTTTGTGGGAGGACAGGAAAGAGGCTGAATTATGGGAGAGCAGGGAACCAGACGGACGAGCTCATCTCTCGCCTGTGTGTTTGTCTTGTCTTAAAATCAACACATGCTCCTCTGTGCTCACATTCATTTCATTCTCATGTGAAAGGAACAGGCCACGACACGAAGCCACACGAGGCTGGGAGCGTCGGAACCGAAACTTGGTGTTTGTCCTTGCTCAAAGTTTGTTTCCATGCCAACAAAAGGAGACACTCCCCGCACCAAACATGCCAGAGACAAAAGCAAGTCTGCACATGAGTGAGACTTTTTCTCGACAAACGATGACATCAGATGTGTGAAGTCATTGCAGGTCGTGGGCAGACATTTGTTCAGTAATGCTGGGAGTCGGTTCATGACGCATCGGCTCACTATGAGTGTTTTAACAACTACTTCCTGTAACCAGTGTGATATGAAACTTAACTGTGGGGACGGCAACAGCGTTAATCATTGCCACACCTGATCCTAAAGCTGCGCTGTGGAATTGTTCCCTCCCCCTTACATGCAAATCAGATAAAACATTACCACTTTGAATCTTCAGTCTGCTATTCATATATTCAATACATTAAAGATTTAATTTACATGTGGCTCTGATTAATAATTCGGAAGATCATTTGTCTGAACACACACAGTTTTAGAACATGTGTCTCACTTGTGTGTTTTGTTGTCTGTCTCAGTATATTGATTTTTCAAACAACGAATAGCACTCAGATTCAGATTCGCGTTTGTCAATATTTTCGGGGGCTTGGTACAGAGCCTTGACATGAATAGTGAAAATTCACGAGTCGTCAACTATACCAGTGCACGAACTATACCACAAAGTATGATCTCCAAACACTTTAATATCATTTCAAATTACTCTTAAAATATTACCATTAAAAATAAGTGGCTTACGAATTATTTGTATTTCTCATTGTTTTGCATTTCTTGTTTTATTGTGAAGGGTTTTTTTTCAGCGTTCAGTGAAAATGATCAGATACGTTTTTTTTCGAGACAAAATGCTTTAACAGGAACATTCTTTTTTTTTGATCGCTTTGATTCTCCAACGGGTACTTCCAACCAGATTTTATTTCGATGGTGAGTGTTTGACACACATTAGTTTCCTTCATTGCTGCTTTTGTCTTGGGTGTCATTAGATTGTGCAGATGTACCGTACCTCATCTTTTGTTTGCTATTCTATAGATACGTCTTGTGATGAGTCACCCGTGACTCTTCTCGAGCTTCTTCTGCGCTCCACTAAACATCTGGTGGCTCAGACTGAAGCTTTTGTCTGTGAACAGACCTAACAGGTTTAATTTGGTTTTGGGGTGCTGTGAAACTCTGCCACGTGTTAATGATCCTGCTGGGAGCTGCTAATTGAAAAAGTGTCGCCTGGAGGACATACAAAACTGTAATGTCATCAGGGTGTCAAGAAAAAAAAAATGACGCGTTAGACAGAATTAGAACTTGAACGATACAGGTGAATAATTCCGAAAGGATGACGGCAGATATTATAATGGTCTGGATTTGTGGGTTTCATACCAAGTCATTCTTGTTCTTAGAGGATCTTGAAGGAAATAATTGCCCCCCAAAAATGTGGTAATGTTTTTATTTTCTGACTCCTAAGATCTCGTATAGAGAACACAAATGTACTGTTTCAGGTCAAATGAAACATTGTACTTCATCAGCCTACCTACGAAGTCCTTGATTTCATATTTCCACGGTACAATGCCTTCTAAACATGAAATGTAATGGACTGTAGGCCTGTTTTTATGGATTCATTGACATTGTCTGCAGTATTGGCTTGAGTTGTGGGAGAAAAAGAGCTGCAGTGTGCGCTGGACCTTTTTATCTTAACAAGTCATGTGCACAATCTTGCACCATTAGTGGCTATGCGCACCCTGAGAGGTGTGCTCATAATGAGGTGCAGGACATGCATGAATAAAAAAGTTGAGATAGACCACTGGCAGTAGATGATAACACAGGACCAAATAATAGTTGGACACAGCAGGGAGCACATTTATATTCCTTATCTATTCCAAGCCCTCTTTCATGCTGTGATGGAGCATGGTTGTACAAACGTTGGTTGTACAAACATGGTTTCCTTTTTCTTGGGCTCCAGTATGTGTCCCTACCGCTCATGGGTGGCCAGTACACTGCTGTTTTAAACCTAATTTCCCTTGGGGATCAGTTGTCTCTTCTTTTCTTCATTTGAAGATTACCAATTCAGTATGGGAGAGCTGTAGTGTGGCGTTAAACCCTCTTGGGGTCGCTGTGTCTCATTCGATACACTGCAGCCACCGAGCTTCTAAACGGTGACCCCTAAACGTCCATATAAATCTTATGCTTGCCATCTCCTCTCTCTCATAACGCTATAGGATGCTCACCAGCTGCACAATGGACATGTTCAAGGTGGATGTGTGGTTTGGTGTAGACACTAACAGCACGAAACCTTATAAATGCCAAATTTGTTTGACTTACATAGCAGTCTAAAATGCGTACGCGAGCCATCCTGGATGGGCCAAATGCCGTCTATGAGACAGTAATTTAAGAAATAAGATTAGGTTTGCGCTTCTAGCCCGTCCTTATTGATCCAATCTGGGGGGTAGATTGAACGACTGAGAGATCCATTAACAACCTCCGCCGGCATCTTCGTGAAGAGTACATACATCATTAGCAGCTCATGGGAGGCCACTGCTTTTTGCATTTGATGTAACATAATTTGGCCGTTGGTTTCACACTTCGTTTTAACATTCACCAACTGAGAGAAGTGTGTCGGGATGACAAATGCATACTGTGGCATCCACGCGCCGACTGGATTTATTGCTGCGGAGACTAATTTCGGCGTCCACTGGAGGATTACGTGTTCTTAAAGCCAATCCGTAGAGATATGTGGGTGCAATGGTGTGATCATGTGTCCGTGTTCACACCCCATTGAAGTCCTGAAAGATATTTTTATTCCTCGGCTATGTGAATGAAATTCATGTTAACAGCTGTAGAGTATTTCCAGTATGTACTGTATGTATTTTTTTTCTAAACCGTACTGCGCAAAAGCCATTAAGTTTGTCGACATTGTAAAGCTGTAAATAGGACAGGCGTAGGAGGACATTTTAGGTGAATCTTGATGAAGCTGCAGATGCAACAGTTCAACCTTCATTTTGTAAACACTCCCAAGTACAGGGTGTCCCAAAAGTCACTATACACTGTACACTGGGAACTGAAAAAAATGTTCTGTCCCAGACTGCAGTTCAGCACTTGTCTTTGAAGCTTTATGGCCATCAAAGCGCCCCAACCTAAAGTACAATTGACACGAATCATAGCAGGTTTCTCGAAACAGGATGTGTACTTGACAAACCACACAGCGGAAGTTCCTGCTACTACCACTACTCACTCAGGAAAACACCAAACTCTGAGAGCAGCTATCTGACAAAAGCTCAATTCAGCAGATGCTTTGTTTGGTTAGCTTTACCTATACTGTCTTCAGGTTGTTCAAAGGCTTCAAGGGGAAAATTATTATGCTGAGGATTTGTTGGAGTTTTATGTGATGCCTTTTAGCCAAGATGGAAACAATGACAAATTAATTGTGCATTATGAGAAGGCTTTTTAAAGATCATGTCAGCACATAGCAGTGTACTGTGTTGGCACTCTTCACTGATGGCTCCATTGGCAGGTTGAACCATGTCTTGCCGGCATGATGTCACGTTATTTATGTCTCTGACGCACATATCGCCATCCCGCCTACACGCGTCACCAGATCAGGGTTTACCATTCCAAATGATGAGCTCAGTGGTGGAAAAAAAACAATGTTCCTCAATCACAATTACAAATACGTAACTTTCCCGATGTTACATTTTTACATTTCCATTTTAACAAACCCATACGCTGGTTTTCACTGAAAAACCTTTTCGCTTGATAGCCACAACAGTATTTTCATTTTGTGGCATCATGGCACAACTACGGTGACGTTGATGAGCTTTATTTACACCAAATTAGTGCTTTGCCACCATCTTGTGGCATCATGATGCCAAGGAACTGCGTTGAAGTGACTTCCCACAACAATTTCATTCTGACCATAGTTCCAAAAGGTATCTCTCTCGCAAATTCATCACTGCTCATCATTAAAAGAACACAGTGAAACATGGTGGGGGCAGCATCATGCATTGGGGCGTTTTCTTCCGCTGGAACTGGGGCCTCTCAAGGTGAGGGGAATTATGAACAGTTCCCAGTACTTCAATGCAATACATCTTTATTTATATAGTCAGTTAGCATGAAACATTGAGCCTTCTGCTGGGAAAAAAGAATTTCGGTTGAGTTGTACACTTTAAAGGTCACATTAATGGTGAAGAACTTTTTGAAATGACTTATCTCGATCTCATTTCTTTGCATCACAAAAACCTGGCAAACCCGGTGCACTTTGAGGATGACGTGATATATTGCAACCTGATTATAACTTATTTGATGAGTATGTACATGAAACGGGATGGAGGGCTGGAACTGTTGAAGAAACCGGGAGACTGTTTAGAGACAAAAGGCATGTGTCATGGTTTGCTAGATGGATGGATGAGCGCGGGGAGTCATTGTGTTTTAATGCTATCCAGGTGGTAAAGAATAAAACAGGTCCATTTGAGAGAGGACAGGCAAGGTCAGAAGTAGCACAGCGAGTCAGGTGGAAGGAGGAGAGGGGCAGATGGAGACGGGGAAAGAGAGAGAAAGAGAGAGGGCAGAGCGAGTGGAAGGGCAGCGAGCGGGTGCCAAGCGGGGGGATAGCACGGGCTGACAGCAAAATGGAGACTGACACAAAATGATGGCGCAAGACATTAAGAGGCTGCTTGAGGAAGAGCACAATCCAGAGGGACACGCCAACTCCACTTTCATCTTTATGAATGAGCCGAGAGGCAAGGAGGCAAATATCCAAGGAACAATAGCAACTAATGAAATGATCTTTCTTCATACTGAATAATAATGAACAAGCTGTGCTGATATGTAGGTCACACAGGGGATGAAAATTTGATGAACGAGGCAACCCTGTGAATAGCCGGTTAATGGAAATCAATGTGTAAACTCTGATTCATCCTGACTGACATAAGTAGAAAAATCAAAAAGGAGGTTGATTGTAAGGCGAAAGGTCCGATGGCTGCGTTCAGCGTCGGTTTGAGGTCGCCAAGTGGCGTTATGACGAGCAAACATGCCACACTGATTGAGCATTCACCCTGCCTACGAAGATGGATTGCGAAGGCGCAAAAATAGAAGCTGCATGACATGCTACGATGGACAGTGCTCGTCATGCACGTCTAATTTTTTTTTTAATTGACAGTCTGTCAGTTTGAGGACTAGTAATATGCTATATTAGTGCAGTTGTGTCCCTCAAGGTACAGTTTACATGAATGTACCATCTTCTCATTAGGGCAAGCAAATAACCTAATACAAGATGTACACTAATAGTACAATACTTAATTGATACGGCAGTACATATCTTTGGATAACAGGCCAAGAGATGCTTCATCTGAATCAGGTACCTCACCCATGTCATTGCTATATGGCCTTGTGAGATGGATTAGGGAGTCAAAGGGAGTCAATGTCACACTCGGTCTTGGCAAACAGCTTGATGTCATCCATGTAGCGGAGGTTGATCCACTTCTGAACCGGTAGCCAAACCCAGTCTTGGTAATCTGACTTAGTTGGTTAAGGCCTATGCAGAACTGCAACAGGGACAGAGCATCTCCTTGGAATATTTGATATTCACCTGGGCAACTTTATTTGAGTTAGTCCCCAGAGTTGTATTCCACAGCCTCATTGAGGTCTTGAGGAAGGTTCTTCAGATCCTGTTGACGTTTCACAGTTCCAGGCTTTCCAGTATCCTTGTGTGCGACATTGAGTCATTTCTTGTCGTCAATCCGGGCAGTGCATAGGTTGGTGCTTGTGGTTTTAGTCTTGGGTGATTGCCCTGTCAACCGTGACTAGCTGGGTGTTTGGCTCACCTGGTGTGATTTCCAGATGATGACAGTAACCTGGCCTATATTGGACCACAAGGCATCAGTGGAGCGACGGCAGGGGAGATGACGCAGTGACGTTTGTGCTGCTTCTCATTACTGTCTTGTGTGTACTGCTTATGATTACCACTCTCCTGTCACCACAGCAACCAGACTGGCCACATCCTCACTAATGCTTTTGTCTGGCCACTTATCGACTCTTTGCTTGTGTGTCTGTGTGTGGTTGCTGGATGCTTGTTGATGTGAGCATACGCCACACGCAGCAGTGTCAATCGCATGTCGATAAGAACCCAGCATGGCCCCTAAGTGAATGAATATGTCCAAAATTCATTAGCCTACATCCCATCAGACAATCAACTTTATTAACACGCCACTTCATCCCCCTGGTTCCTCTTGCCTTTCTCCCACAAAGCCCGCCTGAACTCCCCAGGCCGCTTAGACACCGCCTGCGCTGACTGAAGTTTTAATAACGCTAAAAGGTTCACTGTCCACCCACGCCTCGCTCTGTCATTTTCTCCCATGACCTTGCTCATTCCTCAAGTGATCAGTATTGCTCTGATAACTTGCTTGCCTTTTTATCCTGCCATCAGCCTACAACAACGAAAAATGGTTTTAAAACGGTTACCAAAAAAAAATAAATAAAAAATCAATGTTGGATGTTGTTTTGCAACACATTCACTTCGGTTTGGAGCTTTTGAGGTTTTTTTTTTTTACCACGAATGAAGGGGAAAAAGGTTGAACATCCATAATTCATCAACCAAAAGTCAGGATGGATTTAGAACATGTATCCACCCTCTGTATCATTTGTCAGGCTTTGAATGATACATATTAAATCATGTTTCTGTCTCTGCATAGCTGAAAGCATTGCAGTGTACCGAATTTGCAGTATGTCCTCCATATGACCCCAAACCAAGTGTACATGTGTAGCACGAATGATATGAAAAGGCACCAAGTAAAAACAGCGTGCAATCATTGTTTTATTAGTTCGCTACCGCTGGCTATAACTTTGGCCAGGCATGTTATGACATGTGTTTGTGTATTTACAATATTACATTAACATTCTAGTCGGCTGGTTTTTGTTTTCTGAAGGCTGGATTTGTCTGTGCTTACACTGACTGCTTTTTTTGAACTGTTCATAATTCCGCCCACCTTATCCAAAGCCCCAGTTCCAGATGAAGAAAAACAGCCACAAAGCGCGATGCCACCACCACCACCACCACGCTTCACTTTAGGTACGGTGTTCTTTTGGTGATGAGCAGTGTTTGTTTGTGTCAAGCTTACCTTTTGGAGTCATGGCTAAATAAATTCCACCTTGGTGTGATTGGAGCATACAGTATCTCCCAAACACATGTGGAAAAAGCATCACTCACTAAGCTGAATTCGAACATCGCAGATGATTATGGAAAAGCCACGGCGAACCATGCCGTACCATCTTCTTGAAGTGACATTGATGGACAGATGTGTAAGCCGACAGTTGCTTCATCCTCACGTCTTGTGGATCAATCTTATTAGCCTCCTCACGTTAGATTACTTTGCACATCGACATCATTTTGTCCAGCTTGCATTTTTCTGCTGTAATAATCAGTCATATTTAGTCCAACACCAGCTCCCTGTGACCCTGTGAAGGATATGTAATCAGATTGATGGCTGAATGGACAAGGAAGCCAAAACTGTTTGCATAATAATTTATTGACTTATTTTCTTTTCATATAATATATATTAATATTATTGCTGCAGTTCGGGAGCCTTTCAAATATTCACTTTCAATGTTCCCATGACGGGAGGCTATGTATCGCTTAATATCGTAACGCATGCGCAGTACAATTCACAGGAGCAGGATGCAAATAAATAAAAGTCTTCGTAAGTTAAATGTCATAACCTATCCATTCTATTTATGCTTCTTGAACATGCCTTTTTCAGTCCATGGGATGGGGGAAACACTTTTCGGAACATGTACTTTCTATTGGAAGGATGAAGGCTGAACAGAGAGCACATTGATAATACATATTATTAAAGCTGGTCATCCCGGATTCATCTTCATTCCCACCTTAAATGGTGTTTCCAAATCCAAGTGAAGCGCATCAATAATAATTCCTGGATGTCAAATATGTACAGTACCTTCAAAATACGGCACCAAATCTGCTTGTGGATAAACTTAAAATATGTGACAACCATATACGTATATACATATTTCATGGTTGAATTGAAAAGGCTGTGTTGTGTCCTCAGACGGTGGTCGTACACAGTGGAAACGCCAACCCGTTTCTCAACATTTTTTTTTTCTTTCCCGGTTGCTCTTGAAAGTAAACGCCCAGCCTAGCGAGCGAGCATCCTGAGCACTGAGGTGTGTTACACAGTGCTGGGAGGTAAGTGTGGGACACATCATCAGTGCACACGTGTGTTTTACTGACTCCACGTCTTGCACAGCACCAAAATGTTGCCAAATTACTGGCAAAAGCAGCCATGTGACGTCAGTGTTTATCAGAAAAGGTTTGCACATGGATACTCGGTGCTATTTAGTGTGAAATTGTGTTTGAGCATTGAGGAAAAAAAGTGGAGCGTTTGTCCGCCGAGTGGCAATGAGATGTATGAATCGCTCTCGGCATTACAAATCATCTTCAAATTCAATTTTCCGACTCCGGTGAGCGATTGGCTTTTTTCCTCGACACTCGTGCATCTTTTGCATATGTGCACATTTTAGGAAATCAAGAGGATTACATTATTCATGAGCTACAACAAAGGCAAGTAATGAGGGGGGCATTCCTCAGTGCAATTGCAACCTTCCTTTACATGATTTTATTTTTATGAAATTGCTCATTTCTGTCTGTTGGGTTCTTTAAAGGCACCTAGTGTCACCTAGGCAGAGTGCAAAGCTCCGTCATTTTTAGGAAGGAGCTTTAAGCAGCACCAAAGTCCATGGTGGGAAGCTGATTCTTCTTCTCTGTGCTCCTTCAAAGTCATAGTACAGTGGTGACCTTTTGTGCCCCAAAGGTCATGGGGGGTCCAGGGCCAAGGAGAAAACCTCTTCTCCGAAATGTCAAAGACCCCAGGCGGAGAAGCCTCTGTCAGACGTAGGCCGACTCACTGGACTGGGTCCTGCCCAGGTTGGGGGCCTGAGACAGGTGGGAAACGTCCTTCTTGCGCACTTCGCAGATGGACTTCCTTCGGGCCTGCACGCCGCGGATGGCCGTCTTTATCTTGCGCCAGCCGAGGTGGTTGAGCTCAGCCAGGTTGAGCACCACGCAAATGCCGCTGACCGCAAACATGAAGACCAGGAACACGGTCTTTTCCGTGGGGCGAGAGACGTAACACTCCACCTCCTTCACGCACGGGTAGCGGTCGCACTCAAACATTCCCGGCACGTTGAAGCCGTACAGGAAGTACTGGCCTGCCAAGAAGCCGATCTCCAGGGCGTTGCGGAAAACCACCTGGATGACGTAGAAACGGGAGATTCCTTCCTGTCGCCGCACTTTGGCGCTCTTGTGCGTCGGAGGGAGCCCTCGAGGTCCGTTGGGGATCTCCTTGACCTCCAGGCAGTCGTGATCCTCCTTACTGCTGTCAGGGTGCACCAGGATGCCGTTGATGTTGCGGGAGTGAAGCTTGCGAGCGTGATGGTCGTGATGGCGGCCGTGGTGACCGTGACCGTGGTGGTCCATGTAAGGGTGCAGGAGGGAATAGCTGCGGTCCCGGGCTTTGGCCGACTGGTGGACGGAGTAGGTGATGAAGCACAGGCTCGGCGTGCACACCAAGATGATCTGGAAGACCCAGTAGCGGATGTGCGAGATGGGGAAGGCTTTGTCGTAACAAGCCTGGTTGCAGCCGGGCTGCATCGTGTTGCAGATGAACATGATCTGCTCGTCCTCGTACACTTTCTCGCCCACGATGCCAACTATCAGGATGCGGAAAATCACCACCACGGTTAGCAGGATCCTACAGACGCAGGGAGGAAGCAGAACAGGGAAGGTCCATTAATGCAGAAATTGAACAGATTACTGTGTGAAATGTTTTTGTTGAATGTTTTCGTTTAGGTTTAGTTTTAGTTTTTTTCTTTATGCCTTTTTCATTCCTTGTCTCGTCATGAGGTTTTTGTTTCCACAGCCCTGTTCCTTGTGTCGACCAATCAGCTCCTTTCAGCCACTTGCGTTTTGTCCAGGTGTGCCTCATTGTCTCGCCAATACGTTTGTATTTAGTTCCCTGGTTTCTGTCAGCGTGTGTCGTGTCATTCTGTCAGAGATTTTGTCGATTTGATGACATTCAACGTATCCTTGAGAGTCTGGAAAAATTGTCGCACCATCGCGTGTGCGCAGGTGAGCAACTTTGTGCATACGTGTGTACTTTGTACCCACGATTGCTCGGCGGCTTGGATGAAATTGATAGCATTTCATTGATTATCGCATCAATGCTCACAAGTTCACTCATCATGAGAGGCTGCCAGTCTGTCGAGTGACTCACACTCCACATCAGTGTGCGTATGCTTACACACATGCTTAAACAGTTTGCTATTTGTCATACTGCACACAAAATATTACCCACTGGTGCTGATCCAACTTGGCCACTGCAGAGGAGGAATGGGCCTTTACAATTGCACTGTCAGCGCTTTGTAATGAGTAGCGAGCGCCCGCACATCACAGGGTGCCCGGTGCCAAAATGCAGTGGATGCGCGTACTTCCTGCGTGGAGGAGCCAATTACTTAGAACGCACTTGTCTCTAGGCAGCGAAAAGGGAGATCAATTGGAGCTGGCTGCAGGTGGGATGGGCCAACTATGGTAAACACAATGGTGTACGTGTGCTTGTGTGAGGGTAAGAGAAAGTGCAGCAACTGCTGAACAAAGGCGCGTGGAAGATCATCTTTTTTCTTTTTTTCAGATTGTGCCGGCATACCGAATAATTTTTCAAATGAGTTTCTTTTTAGGAGGCTTCACTTGCATTGAAAGGCCCGTTGCCAAAGCAACTGCGAAAATGTGAGATGTTTGGCCAGGGTGAGATCAACGGTTTACATAAGTGATGCATGCTGTGTTCCGCAAATGTAAATATTGTTGTTGGAGAAGTGGATGGAATTTTGGATTAAATGTAATACAATATTACTTGAAGAAAACTGTTAGAGCAATCAGCATCTCTGGCGAGTATGATGAATTATATTGACATTTTTTGGAATGTTTTGGTCATGTTACTGTATACAAACTGATTCTGAATAGCTCACGATGATGAATGTAGCACAGTTGTTGTTTAGTATGGATGGTTTCTATTAATACATGTGACACACGTTACCATTCGAACATTCCTATGGCACGAGTATGAGCATTCTCACTCGAATCCCCAAATTCTGATTCAGCGTTCGTATTTAACAGCCCAATTTGCATCTCGAGTCGAGTCACAACCCATTCCATTTTCTATAATAGCCATGTAATAGTGATGGTATTTAAGTCAAATAAGTCCCCGCTGAAGGCCCTCGTACCAAATGAAAGAAACGCCTAAAACTCCTTTAAGTGTCTTTGAGTTCAAAAGAAACACGTCTTCCTTCGACAAGTGGAAGCGAAAGGCAGACAAAGAACACGTGTTGTTGGCGTGAAAGAGGTTTAGAATAGAATACTGCTGCACCTGCGAGTGCATGCCAAGTATGTTTCTTTCTGTGTGAGACGCCGACACGGGGACGGAGACAATGAGGGAGAGTCAGCCATGTGTGTGACTTGTGCAAAATGGCAAATGTGCCCGTCCGTCTGTGATGGAACAGCTGTGAGTGCGTGCACGCTACACTGACTTTCACTCCAAGAGAGCGCCTCGAACACAATAAAGCTCAGCTGCACCTTTGGACCTCCATAAATGAAATTTAAAGTTGTCGTAATGCACACTTCAATTCTGATCCAAAGGTTGATATGTTTCATCGTTATAAGGAGGGAAATCATACTGCATTCTCATATATATATATATATATATGCGTGTGTGTGTGACACATTTTATAATGCCATAGTAGGAAAGTAGCACGTTTCACTGGCTAGTTTAAGACTCTTGAAGCTGCAATGTATAAAATGGGAGTTGCCTAGTAGAAATATTTTTCCCTCATTTTATTTTAACCTTTTTTTCATGAACATATAGCTCATTGGATATATGACAAATTACAAATGACAGTTTCTCCATATTTGACTGACGAATGATTGTCGAAAGAAAAGCAATTTACTCCAACTTATTTTTCTTAGTTCCATGTTATTTTCCGCTAAAACAAAAAAACGTTTCTTTTTTGTTGCATATAAAAAGAGAAATAAGTTGGATATAGCCTATATGTGTATTTCATGGAGCAGCAATTACATTTAAAAAAAAAATTGAACATCTCTACATAATGAAACATATCGACATATTTTGCGGGAATCGTACTGTGAGATGCAGAAGCAAAAACATGCATGTTATGTTAATTGAAGACTCTAAATTGTCCATAGGTGTGAATGTGAGTGCCAATGGTTCATCGTGCACTGTAAATGTGCCTTGTGATGGGGTGTCACCCCATCCAAGGTGCATCCCGCCGCTCACCCAAAGTCAGCCGACATGGACCCCGGCTTACTTGCCAGCCTCATGAGATCAGCACTATAGAAAATGGATGCATGGATGATCAAAAGAAAAATGAAATGCAATGGAACTCTTTATGTCATGTAACACCGTACATCACTATTATGAAGAAATTCCACACAAGCTTTCCTCGTTAGAAAATCATATTTTCTCAGCATTTTTGTATTTGCACTGTTTTGCGCTATTCATTGCTGTATCATGAATACATTCTGTGCCAATGAACATATTGGATGTTGTGTTGTGTTTGTTTGTCTTGTGAGCGATTTTGTGTGTGTATGTGTGTGTGTGTCAGTATGTGCGCTCCTCTGCTGGCTAACAGGATAATCAGCACACGGCAGATTGCTGCATTAGCAGAAAGGAATGAAGGAAGGTTATGTTGCAAACATCAGTGTTTTAGTGCTGCACCGCACCAGTAGTGTGCTTGACCACTTTGGGCCAGATTGACCGCGAGCTCTGAACCTGCAGAAGATTAAAAAATAATCATAATTAACCAAAAAAACCACCACTCCAAAATGCATTTGTAGTTCAGCACACAGTATAAACTCAACTTGCTTTGGGGGATGTAAAGGAAATTGGAAGCTGTAGGTTCTGCTGCATTGTGATACCTTGTGGTATGAATATGAATGCATTTTTCTGCCTTCCGTCAATGCTCATTGCATCAGTAACAGTAGCTGCCCACCTCCCTGAGGGTGTCTTTTCAGTTAGGAGTAATCATTACTTTTTGGACCATGGGGGGTGGGGGTGGGGGTCCACAGCTTCATTGACATTTGAAATAGGATTTGCGTTTGCAGTGACCTGCACATATGCTAGTTTTTTTTTCTTTGCCCTTGGTAGCAAGTGACGCCCAAAAAAATCGGAGATACAGTTACTCTTTCAATATCACAAAACATTACTACTTATATATTTCTGGTGTGTGTCAAAGCATGAATATATTTATTTCTACCTGAAGGAAATTTTCAAAGAAATTCACCTTTCACTACCCGAGCAGCTGCAGTTAACCGCCTCCAGGTTGTAGCAGTGACAAAGAATTGGCCTAAGTTACTTTTGAAGCAAGTATCCAGTCAGGTAACTAAGTTACCTTTTCCAGCTGACATTGTTTGTAGCCATCTATCACCGCCAGATGATGTCAGTGTCAGCACGGGCAACAAATGGTATCATTTGACGTGAAGATTACGATAACACGATGGCACACTGTAGTGTATAAAATTGAAATGTTCTGATTAATGAGCGATAGACTGTCCTGAGTGACGTTGGATGCTTTGCCACGGGTATGTTGGCTGGACTTCCTGGCTTGGTGTCTTGCCACGGGCTTCAAAACACACTCACGCACATTCATTCAGAAGGCAGCTGCTGCCACCAACCCCCTTGGGAACAACAAGCGCCTGCAGCATGACAGCAGATTAAAAAAAAAAATTGTACATATACAGTATTGTCTTTCTCTCTCTCTCACACACACACAAAAGCACACACACTGAATATACAGTCGAATTCCCCTGCATTCCGTCCTTGGCTGGCTACTCCCTGAACTGGTCACAGAGCAGATGATTGAAATGTGAATCCGTGTCAATCCCATACCAAAGTAAATCACTACTGATCTGTTAAATAAATGTAAAAAGAGGTTCAAGAAATATGAATACTTCATTTAATTCAGTCACTTTATATGTTATACCCTGAGAAAAAATATGCAGGGTTGTTTTCCTGGCAAGTTCTGATTTGGGGCAAATTGTTGTTTGGGTTATTTATTTTGACCCACTCGATTGGTTTGAAGATTGGATTTGGGCAGTCTGAAGAGCTGGAGTTGGCCGACATCGAGTGGGAAAAGGGCTGAGTTTGATCAAAATGGGTGGATTTTGCTGCTTAATCTGTATTCTGCAAAAGCAGTCTCCATCAGAATACCGTGTTTAGAGAACATTGTATTATCGAGAACGTTTTTGTGTTGATTTCCCCTCTCACTGTGGTAAACATGTTTTTGCACTTGTATGACCGTTAAGAATGTTACTTAAAAAAAAAAATTGCCTCTGCAGTCAATTAGGGTTTCTATAATCATGATAGTTTGACTATGGCATGGATTATTTATTTTTTTTTTTGGTACAATTGTGCGACAATTTGGTTCTAAACAAATCGGAGGTTGATCGGCATCTCGGGATAGATTGCGTTTAGCCCTCGAGGTCCCACTAAACTGTTTGGTGTGCCGAACGATCAGATGCAGGAGTGCATCCAGCCTTATCTGAAGGGTCAGCAATAATCTCTGCAGTGTGCCTCGAGTCAAAAGATTTATCCTACCCATACGCTCTCAATAATAAGCTCCACCGATTGCTGTAATGAATAAAGACTTGCGCAGGCAGAGAAATTAGGCCGCTTAATGATGAGTG